TGCATAATTAAATTTACCTTGATTTGCTTTACCAATAAATTTTGCCTGATTAGAATGATAACATCCTAAAATTTTAGGCCATAAAATTATATAGGTAGTTTTTAATCTAGTTTGGATAGGCTAAACCTAAAAATCGTTTATTATTTGAATCAAATTAAAAAGGATGCTATGATAAAAATTCAACTCATTTCTTTATTACATAGAATTAGGATGAATCTAATTCTAATTCAACAACAAAGATAGAAGAGCTGTAAGATAATGTTAAGAAGTTAGATTCATCATTTAAATATTTTAGCGGAATGAAAAAGCAAAGTTAAGAGGGGATCAATTAGAATAATTACGTTTGGAATTAAGAACTTTTCTAATAACTCTAAAACTTCTAAGGAGGTTTAATCAATCTATTATACTTTGTTGATGAATTGTATTCTAATTTTTTATCAGCAAATACAACAAATGCAAATATTTACACAAGTATTGTTGAATTGTTAAAGTATAAAAGTTCAATAAGAGAAGAAATATAGAATTCTATTCTTGTTAACGACTAACCATTATATATAGAGGGGAAAGATATGATTTTTTAATTAAAAAAGAGAACAAAAAAGATCTTCAATTAATAATTTAATATTGAACCAGCTTTTGAAGATTCTCTAATAGATTTTATTCAATATGAATCTACATTTCTTTCTATAAATCCTTTAATATTCAGTCCAGAGTAAGATTAAATTCTCTAATAGCATTTTAATGACAAAACTATGCAAATATTGTCAGATAATTACTATTTAATAAAATTATTCAATGTTATTAAAAACAAATATATAAACTATGAAAATATTTCATCTTAGTTTGGCACCAAGTTTGGAACATATGAAACTTGTTCAAACTAATCATAAATAATTAAAGAATATGAGATATTGTGTATTTCAAGAACAGTCTCTGGAGAATTCCATAAATGTAATTTAAATAAGGTAGAAAAAAACGAAACTATTGAATTAACTTGTGAATGCAAAAGTTTGGGGGAAATATTTTTAATTTCTTCTACAAATTTTAGTTTTGTAGAAATATTTAATAATAGCACAGAAGAAACTGGCTTTAATATCACTTCATTCTAAGATGATTTCTTAATTTTAATCATTTTTACAGGTTCATTGACTCTAATACTTTTTGGAATTTATATTTTTTAATTAATCAGGGACTTTAGAGATAGATCAGATGAAGAAATGTTATAAGAAGTTTGTAGCGAGAAGGGACAGGTAAATAAAATGATCTACAAAGGAAATTCTACAATTTTCAAATAAAAATTCAAAGTATATTTTTAATGTAATTATTAGGAAATTCATCAAGTCATCTCACTTGCTAACTATAAAGACTAATAAATTAAATTTAGTTATAGAATATTGGAAGTCATTTCCGAAATTAATTTATTGTTAACTTTTAATATTGTTGAGTTTTATTTATAAAGTATTAACATACCCCTGATATTTGCTTTTATGATCATTAACCCTATTATTGTTTTTATTCTGAGAATAGTTTATAAAATTATTGAAGCTATATATAGATTCAGAAGTATTCCTGCTATTATTAGTTCGTTGATTCTTATCATATTATTGATATTGCCGAATATCATTCTCTTTATTATTCACAGAATTAGGTAATTATCAACTATAATTTAGATTGGAAGCTCAATCAGAAATATATTTAATGGCTATTATCTTTTTGGCGAATATTCTAGTTTCATAAACTATAATTGAAGCAATTTCAATATTTGGAAGAATTGCAGTTTATAGATTAATAGCCTTAAGCCTCAAATAAATGGAATTTAACCCATTATTTCATTTGATGCATTTTTTTGTTATACACAGCAGTCTAGAAGATATTTTTGACGAGTTCTAAAAAATTTGAAATGGTATATTGAGTTATTGGAGTTGTAATAAATCTATTTAATACTTGTTTTTTTTAATGCGAATGTTAATGAAAAAGAAAAAGGAAAGGTGTTCTATAAATTTGAAAATATTTTTAGTTGATTAGTTTATAAATGAATGTGTTTTGAGGATTTATTTGATATTACAAAAAAATTGTCAGAAATAGATTCAATTCAAAAATATTTATTAGATTATTTTTTGATTTTCTGGACAATTACCATAATTTTCGAAATTTTCATAGTTAAGAAGGAGTATATGATTAATGTTATTTTGAAATTCAATAAAAATTAAATTACTTAATTGTGATTGATAATGATTAGGAAATCGATGAGACAAGACTACATCAAGATGTTCCAAAAATCACACAAGCTCTTACTTAGACCAATATTTTGGGAAGAAAATATTAATTATGCTCTAATTATGGTAATCCAATCTACAGTAGTGCTCATATAAATACTTTCGAAATAATTTGATCTCTTATTGAAATAAATTAACCAAACCTGAGCATAACTTAAGCACTGATGGTAGACAAAATAAAAACGATTATATTTTAAAGAAAGCTAAGAAAAAGTCAGCATATATTATATATTTTGTGAGAAATAGATATTAAATAATGAAGAAAAAATAAAGGCATATTAAAAACAGACCTTGTTACAGAATCTGAGTAATGAAGAAATAATGACCACACATAATCAAGATTTTTAAGCTAACGCATCACCTTAACGAATTAGCTAATAAATATTGCAGTCGAAAAAGATCGAAGTAAAAAAAGCAGGTTAAACAATCTAAGCCTTAATATAATGCACAGGACTCCGATATTGATAACTCTTTAGCATCGGAAGAACACTAGGA